TGACCCCCACCCGAGCGAATGGTGTCTAGCCGGCCACCTGGGCGCGTGTTAAGGGCCAATCCGTTCTTATCATCAGTCGAAGAACCGCACACGTGAAATGTCCACCCAGACTAACTGCTAAAAGTAAGATTTGACGTCCTGAAGCGTTGGAAAGTACTTTTTTTAAAGCGTCATCATTTTCGTACATCTGTTGGTCACGGCTCAATCTTAACTGTTTGACAGACGCTGCGCGGTCAACGGGGACTGCAGCGCCTGGCGAAGACGTTTTTCTCACTAAGGTTTGCGAGCGCGTATGCTCCATACTACGCCACCTAACATGTCTAACTAACTGAATTAAGTGTTTAAAGGTGATTATTTCAGAATCGTCATCACGTGCGCATGTTAAAAACTGAGTTACATAAATTGTATCACTAATCGATTCTGACTGAATGTTGAACATTTCTAGACAAACATGGCTTAGGCTTGCTAATTCACATTTTCAACGACTCTTTCTACAGCCAAATTTTCATCTTCGAATTTAATCAAACATATCGATCTATAACCTACCTTTGCAATGTTCTTAATGTCTGTGGAACCCATTTAATCAATTCTGAAAAAAACTTTTTTAATCAATTTAGAAAGAGTCCACGAAATGATTGGAAATTAAGAGCGTCAGAATAGCATAGATGATAGCCTTATTCGGCAAATGAGGCTATCATCCTGCAAAGGTGGATAGCATTGCTTTCCGAATGGCATAGACGAGTGGAATAGGCAACGATGTGTGGCTGTGAGAAACAGTTCTAGACACATGTCCAGCATAGCAGCAATGCCATTTGAATAAAGAGCGATAGCAATCTCCATCTTTGCCCTGACCCCCACCCCCCCCCCCCCCCACCCCCCTCCCGCGGTCGTCGCGCTTGCTTTCCAGAAAAAGTTCCTGAAGTACGCCCTTTGCTTGCCCACCCCCACCTTTTTGAAACCTTGCTACGCCTTGGTTTTATGTTATGGTTTTAATATTTTTCTAATGAATAGGCTATCGATGGTCAAGCATGCTGAGACTTTGATTTTTGACCAGATTTGGCTTCTGGCAAGTGACATGATTTAAGCTCAATTTTGGGTTCAATTTTCAGCTATTTGAGTTCAAATCCCTTAGAATGGTTAAAATCTTCCTTTAAAGAACCGCGTTTCCGCCTCTGGAGTGTCGCCGCGCCAGGTATCCCAATGTACATCTCAGCGTCCTACCAGCAGCGGCGTGTTAAGCAATGCCTGGTACGGCAGGCTCGTTGTCCTGTCCGTGGTGCAAACCCCGTATCCTCCGGCTGATCCAAAAACTACGCGTGAGGACAAAACGACCCATAGGGAGTGTCACTGGTTGTTTTGTTCGCGGCCTTCTTGTTCTCCGGTCTCGTTCCATCTCCAAACTCTTTCAGATGTACTTGGCGATTATGCTGCAGAGAACTGCCTGGGTTCACGGACAATGCAAGTCCTTTTAACGCATGACCAAGTCAGATATTATCAATATGTTGCATGTTTCATCAGCAAGGCTACTTTGATTCGCAACAATGGTTGATCTGCTACGGCACCAACGAGCGCGGAGTAGTGATCAGAAAGATGCATTCACCGTTTCAGTCAGATTCATAGACAATGGCCGGTTTTCTTACGACTGCATCCGTACAGCAGCCGCGACATCAATGCATTTCTGCAGCCTCTCGGATAGTTACAATCGACGAGCCAATACGATCAAGGCTCAGCGCAAGATGCTTACGGACTCCCGCATGGGTCTAAGAACAACGGCCAACCACAAACCCCGCATTGGCCCTGATGGGAGGGTAGACTCAGTTCAGGCTGCCTACATCCAATAGTTCACGCGTGAACGCATTCACTCTTCACACTGATTGTGTTATAACCGCTTGGCATTTGAACTTGCAATTATCACAACACTGTAGACCCGCTTGAATTATACGCATTTTGATGTCTGGTTAGGTGCTCCAGCCATCAGCAATTTGTTAATTATCTGTACAGAGGCAGTCCGGTGTCTTGGCGGCCCATTTCTGCGGCAGTTTTCGCATAAGCGTGTTCACTGTCCGTGCCGATTTATTTGTAATGATTGGCTACTTTTAACTCGCAAATCACGTTATAATACCCGACATCAAGATTTACGCCACTGGCTTTCTGGCATGTGTAACTGCCGACAACAATTTGTTTGATAATGATACAACTATGTCTTGATGTTCTGGCCGTCGTACTTCGCATAATTCTCATGGGCACATCTTTCAGTTTTATGCCGCTGAATCTTATTGTTTGCGGCGGCATAGGCTTACAAAACATGCCATACTGCTCTCCATTAAGTTCTACGCAATCGCCTAGATGGACATGTGCGCCTCCCGTTACCAGTCTGTTTAGTATCTGTGCAAAGATTTCCGGTGTTTCGCCTGCCCCGCAGATTTAAGAGGCCGCACCGCGTTCAAGTCTCCGCACCGATGACGTCACCGCACTGTACAGAGCGAATGAAAAGCTGTCTTATGACAAACCCCCACGCAAGGGATCCCCTGCTTTTATCCCACACAAAACATCACGAGTTGGTTGGAAAATGTGCAGTTATACACGCTTATCCATCCCGAATCGCCGGCGTAGCCTGTTTTGAACATGTGTGTGTAATTTCATTTCCCATGACCTCAGAAGCGTGAAACGCCGGCTGAAAAGTAAAAGCAGACATCCAAGCCTGAAATGATGACGTCATCCAAGTTGGCAATTTACTAGCGGACAAGTCGGAGAAAAATGCAGAAAGTTTGGAACGCCACTAGTTTCCCCAGCCGGCTTCGCAACTGCTTGCGCTTTATTGCGCTACAAAATGTATGAGCACCCAGCGTCCGTCGAGTATAACTATTCTTGTTTCTTTGTTCTCACTCTGGGGTCGCCATAGTTCCTTCCAGAGGTCAAGGGGTGACGAGATGTCAGTGTTATGGTGGGCACATACTTTTCTATCTGACTCATAACTGCTGTTCAAAGGTTGCATGGGTCACCTGCCACGTCTGGTCATAACGGTCGCCCGCGCGCTGCGGCCGCTCAAGTCGCTGACAGTTGGACTCCAGACGGCAGCAGATCCTTTGTGCAACCCGAGCTCCATCGAGTGCGCTCGCGCTGCTCGGTGGTTGTTGTTCTGGTCGTGTTTAAGAGAAGCTGGGTATCTAGCGATCATAAGTCCACATTTTCACGTTAGTCTTTATCCACAAGCCATCACTTTGAGGTCATGTTACGTGTGAAGCAAGGTATGTACGTCCGAACTCGTGCTGCCACTTTTAAACCCACGGGCTGTGAGTCACGTAACTCTAAATTCTAAGAGAATAAAATTTAAACGCATGACTGTGGTACCTGATGGGCATGAACAATGTTCTGGACATTCCTTTCATGGCATGTGCTTGTGTATAAGGCTGTCCTTCTTTCAATGTTTACGCAAGTGTTTCTTTGTGAAATTGACAATATGGCTCGTTTGAGGCACCTGCTACCCATGGGCTGTCCAGATCCAAATTGTCTCTACATAGACATGTCTACATATATTCTCATTCAGGACTGTGGTCATTATTTCAACCTAGGTAAATTAAAGTGAGGCCTGCTTTTACATTCTTATGCTAGTTGATGTTTGATTTCTCGTCTTTCAAGGTATACATCGTTCATTCCTTTCGAAGAGCCTTCTAAAGTATCACGACGACTTTGTTTTGTACAAGGAGGATTGATACCTTGGAGCAAGATCATTGCATATGTTGGAGCCTCAACAGTCCCTTCAAAATGAGACATGTATACACTTGAAATGAATAAAGTTTAACAGTTTGACTCAGTCTAATTCATAAAAACAGGTGGAGGAATTAACGGTGGCAGATTTGAATGTTCGCGAGGCGGCCTTGTTATTATGACCAGACTAAGTATGTCTGTCTGGAATTAATATAGGGTTATTAGATGTGAGCAATGGCAAGGATATACAAAAGCGACTGCCATGCAATAAGATTTCTCACAGGATCTTTTTTGGCAATAGTAACATAACAAGTTTTGGCATGGGTACCTGGAATGAAAAATAAGATTGGCCCGTTTATGCTGGATTTTTGGAACACTTGCCCTGCGGGGCGAGTAAGGGCCTTCAAATTGGGGTGCGGGTCGAATGCTAATATCGCAAAAAAAAAATGGCGGCTTTTTGTGGCAGCAGAAATATTGGCTTCGGATGCAAGTTCTTTTTAGGGCACTGCAATCTTTTCTCTCTGGGGTCAAGTGTATGCCAAATGCTACCACGTGTTAAGTGCATCCGAGCAGTTTTTCAAAGGTTACCAAAAAGTAGGCTATGAAAAACTTTTGGGAAGGTGTAGTATTTGTATTAGCGCAATCCCACCTGACCAATAATCTTCACAACTCACACTTATCGCACTGGACGTCTTTCCCTTCCCCACGGTAATACCACCGGTGTAGTTAGTGCGTTTGAGTAACAGTACAACTTTTAGGTAACAGGATGTCTGAGCGGAGACGGTGACACAGGCAGCCATAATTATTCATCTTGCCATCTCGCAACATAGCTGTCAAACTGCCTAAATTTCGAGAGCAACGAACAGCTACCCCATCGCGTTTACTTTATGTTACCTCGCGTAAAAGATGCCTATGGCACACGAGGAACAGGTCTCGCTAGTGCTAATGCCCGCAAAATATCGACGGCGGTTTTTCGAATCAATATCATTACTGCTCTGATGCTTTCCGCGATGCTTCTATTCCCTCGACAAGCGAGGATACGTGGCATACAGAATAACACCACGCACTAAGATGTGTGTAATAAAGGCTCGTTTCCGAGTCAAAGCATCATCCTCATCTTGGTATTATCATTGCGCTGTGTCGTCACATTGCATGCATCACTATGTCGTCATTGCAACATCATCATTGCAGGCACTGCATGGGTCCTGTTGATGGTAGCTGCATCAGCTGGGGCCTGTGTCCCAAATGGTCTGGACTTGAGGCTGCTGAAGGCATTGACGACCGATTTGAGCAGGAACCAGGCTATTGCCCCGTTCGCCATGTCCACGCTGATGACACAGGTCTGGCTCGGAGCCAGAGGCGACACCAGACATGAGGTACGTGCGTGGTAACGAGCTCTGCCCACCGTGCTGCTGACTCAAATTGTTCAAGTGTTCCAGTATTGTCTCAGACTGCCCCGTGCACGTACAAGTACTGTCTTAGACTGCCCCGTACACGTGCAAGTACTGTCTCAGACTGCCCCGTACACGTGCAAGTACTGTCTCAGACTGCCCCGTACACGTACATGCACGAAGCACGATGAACGTTCTGCGTTCTGATGGGTAGCACCAATGCCTTTTGAAAATACAATTACATTTTGCATTATTGTCTTCTTTTCCCCCAGATGACCACGGTCCTAGACATAAAGACGGGTGCCGGCAGCAGCTTTTTGACGTGCTACAAAATTGCAATCAGTGACTTCGCCGACGGTCCTGGTAACATCACCAACGTCGTCTTTAATCGGATTTACATCGAAAAACGGTTCAGCATCAATTCGGGATTTAAGAATGTGTTGCAAGAGTACTTTCATGCTGTCGTGAAGAAGTTTTCGTGCACGGGGCAGGCGGCGAATGAAATAAACACCGGCGTAGCCAAGGCAACGGGAAACCGCATCCAGAACCTTGCCTCAGAGAGTGCTATGCGCTTCAAGTTGGTCCTGCTCAGTGCAGTTTACTTCAAGGGCCTGTGGCTAACCCCATTTGAGATGACCGTGAAGGGACCGTTTCTCACGGCCTCAGGAAACAAGCAGGTCGACATGATGAAGCTTTTTACCCGGGTGCCGTATGCAAAGATGTCTGATTTTGATGCGATCTCCTTGCCGTACACGGACGAAAACTATGTTATGCTGATCTTACGTCCACTGACGCGAAATATGGCTGCCGTTTCACGTCTGAAGCACTCCCTGGACATCCTTGACGTCGCCGTTATCATGAGGCGTTTGCGTTCGTCGTCTGTTCAGATAACCATGCCTCGTTTCAAGATAAGAGCAGGTGGCTTTCTAAACAGAACCATGTCGCAGTTGGGAATCCGCAAAGTCTTTACGCGCGAGGCAGACCTGAGTAACATTGCGGATAAGTTCCTTGCTGTCGGCCTCATTATCCACAAGGTGTTTATTGAGGTGACAGAAAAAGGCACCGAAGCTGCAGGAGCGGGTGCCGTCACTGACGTGCTGCCTCGACCCGTTCAGTTTATGGCAGATCGTCCCTTCTTTGCCATTGTCTGGAACAAAAAACACGACATCAACTTGTTCTCTGCGTACGTGGCTTCACCATAGACGCATGGCTATGATTATACACACTTTTTTAGACGAGGCATGGTACTTACATTTGTATAGTGTGGATCGTATTAAACATGCAAACCTGACGTCACACATTCCGGAATAAATGAGTGGAAAGCTGGGACCCTTCTGTGTCCAAGTTTTTGTATCATTTATATTTAACCTTACCGATACTTTTTTGGCAAATCTAGGAAAGTGTTTGCTATTCGCAAACAATGTTCTAACCCACCGTTTGAGTTGAACACTTTTGTCCTCCTCTACATCACTGTTGAAAGGAATGTTAGCATCTTCGTCTTTCGATTTCTTGGGTTTTCATTGGAGTGTATGGGGACCTGTAATGTGTGCGGGTTTCTGCACTAACGTGGGTAATCTGATACGTTAGAAATATACGCTTTTGCGAAAATGTTAACGTTTTTTCACATTCCATTACTTTATTAACCTTTTGTATTTGAATTTTTGGACGTGTTGGCTCACAAAACACGAAGCCAGGTTCGATATACCGACCATGCGCAATGCTGAAATAGTCGTGGTGCCTCTTGAAGGTTTGCAATGAGAGAACACTTTCGACGAAGAAGAATGATTCGGCTTGGACAAGAGACGATGCAATGCACTCGATGACAGAATTTTGAATCATCACGTCAGCATGCCTTGCACGTTCTTGAAGGTTAGCAGCCAAAGCAACTAGCATGATCAGACCTTGGCTCGAATTTCTTTCTGAGTAAGGAAGAATGAAAGTACTGCGCAAAAGCAACCCAAGTCAGCAGCTTCTTTTGCGTTGAGCTATAATCACGTGGAGCGCTTGACGATCTGTGTGACTCAGCGATGACTCTGACGATCTGTGTGGCTCAGCAATGACTCTGTCCTCAACGCCCTGCCCTCAAAGAGTGTGGCGTCAATGCAGTCGTCGGGAGGGTCTGCGTCCATAGCCTAAACCTGTTAAGGTCAGTTGAAGATATTGGTCGCGAGATAACAGGTGCACTATAGCACAGTCATTAAGTGTAATATCTCTGGAGCAATATCAAGAAGGCGAGCACAAATTGCTTGTTCTCCGGACAATTCAAGAACTACGCGTATGGGCCAACAACCTATACGGAGTCGAAATGTCCGTCTTGTCTGGGGCTTTGTCGTTCGTCGGTCTCTTTCCTCCTCAAGCCTTGTTCAGAGCTATACGGCGAATATCTTGCAGAGAACTGTTTGGGTTAGCAGAGAAGACCTGTCCTTCTAACGCATGACTAAGTCAGTTGTCACCAATATGTCGCATACTTCATCAGCTAGGCTGTTGTGATCTGCAATAATGATCGGTCTGCTTCGCTATCAACGAGCTCAGAGTAATGATCAGGAAGATGCATTTACCGTGTTAGGCAGATTGATAGACAATGACCAGTTTTCTCACGGCTGCAGATGTACAGCAGCCGTGGCATCAAGGAATTTCTTTGGCCGTTCGGACAGTTGCGAGCCTCATACCCTACCGAGCCAGCTCCTATGCTTCCGCACCCGCTACTGCTACAGAAATGATGTTCACTATCCAAAATTCAATATCTTTTTCATGTACGGTTCCTATCTTTACAGAGAATATATCCCAAACCACGCGTTCATGAAATACACCCCGTCGGCTCGTTTTGAATGCAGCGTATTTTAGAAATGCGGAGGCAAAGCAACTCAGTTTTATGCACCTGATGCTATACTTACATAATTTGCGTTGATGCCTGAGACCTGGACACTTCTGCATCTCATGATTTTGCGGGAGGGAAGTGTTGCCATTCAACGCTTTAGGAAACGTGATTTCTTGCGGATGAAACCATTTCCAGAGGAATGTTGCAGCCATTGGACCGCCTGTTCCTCGAACTTATTCAGTTATGATCGAAAAGTCCACATTACCTTCAATATCAGCATTCACAATGTTAAAAGACTAAAGTGCCTCGAGTGCCAGTAATAACGGTCGCGTACCATCCATTTTACACCAGGCGTAAGAGAGTGATTATGTAAGGCAGAATCACGCCACGTTGTTGCCGAAGGTTATCATCAAGGCCAAGTGATATCGAGGTCATTTGATGTCAAGCCAGTTCAAGTAAATGTCATATCAGTATATTGGATTTTAATTTTATAATTTCAGCCAAGTCTGTTCGAGAGAGGTAAAATCGTCTGGTGATTCTCGCTTCATCTTCGCCTAACGCTAGCGTGCCATCACTGGTGAGAAGACTGAGACTTCAACACCCTGCGGGCTGCTACAAGCGAAACGTAATACTAATACTGAGGAGCCATCGGAAAATCAAAATATTCACACGGATTATGAAAAACCGCTAGCACCAGGGGCATATCACCAGCAATCCGATAGCTTAAATTTTTGTCGTTGCAAATATTGCGATGTGCTCTGCAAGCATATGCGGGAAACCTTTAAAATCCAACGTCATGTGAAGCGAAGATGTACACACGAGACCTTTTCACAAAAGGGTCGTCAGAATATGGGGCTGACTTTGTACAACAAACGAACAAACTATTAGTGGGAGATGTAGGTGACTAACTAGCCGATCGCGTGGAATTTAAGGACGGGTATGACAATGTACTTGACAATCTCAACACGCGCTCAGGCGGGGGTGGGCCAAATTGACACCCCTCCCCCCAAATATTTTCCTGAATGGTTTCCGAACGACGTGGCGTAGCCGTGCCAAGTTTGGCATAGCTGTAGATAATTAAATATCGGATAGTTTTAAATCACAAATTTGGATGTACCTTGTAAAGTCGCTGACCTATGGCAGATGAAAATCGAGCCATGGTTCCAGCGAAGGCAATTCTAGGGGAACCGTTCAATCTATTGCAACAACGGAATGGTAGACGAAGCCACACATATCTGAGATGCTTTTTTAGGAAACACAAATATGAAATGGGCAAATTACGTTGACCTAAGGTCAGGTATGAAGGTCAGTTGGAAATGATGATAAATTAATTAACATGGTAAAATTATGTAAAAAGTAAAATGATGATAAATCAGACCATCGTCAAAACCAAACCCATTTCATTACTCTAAGGTTTGCTGTATGGAATAGCTTTGATGCTCATTTTGATATTTTTAGGAGCAGGAACCGCATTATACATCTTCCAACGACTTCTCAGAAGTCAGGATAGGTGATTGGTCTAAGATGACCGAAGTTGACATTTTGTTCCTTCAAGAGCATACTGCCAAGCGTAATCTTCATCGCTTATTCAAATGCAAAGCTCCTATTAGTATTTACGTAGAATGCAAGCCAGATGCGGTCAAAAGAGAAACGCATGCTGATGCGCGAAGCTGCGTCTTCTCTCGCCACCCTGGGCTGGCTTACCTTTAGGTTCCTCCATAGCCGTGGCACAAGATTGCCCCCCCCCCCCCTTCCTTCTCCTCTATCCCCGTCACCACAATCCACAGTCAAATTCCGTGCCCCAGATATGCATGTTGCATGGTGATCAGTCGCTACGCGAACGTACCTGAACCCCGGCTTACCGCCAAGCAAAATACCATCAGTCACTTCCACAGCTCTCCATCCCTTATTTCTGTGGATGATCGATTTCGATCCATTTGCATTAAATTACAGCTGGATCCGCTCCTACTCGCTCGCACATGCTAGCTTGCCAATGCGGAAGGCAACCGCATCGCGGTTTAATCTATATAACTTAATGATTTTGACGCCGTGGAACATTCGTGACGGGTGTCCATGTGCGCCCCCGCTCCTTTCCATGATGAATCTCCCGCTAGATGGCAGGAGGTCCGCGCGCAGACGCCGAGAACAATAGCTGAACCCAAGAATGGTCAATCCCGCACTGACTTGATCCCTGACACTGCCAAGCCAGAATGCAGAGCACGAGATATATCTGTGGTGCCGTTCTTTTTAACCCGAACAAAATCAGCGAGAGGCTGCTGAATCTTTGTGCGTTCTACACGAAAGGCAGCAAGCTTCAACAATTACATCTATCCTAACCCTAGGCATAGTTTCAATAGCCGCGATGATGTGCCCATAGATTGTTATGTGTGCAAGGCATCATGGCAGTGCGCGCGCCGGTGTGACCCTGGTTAATGGATGATTATGTTTTGGCGGCGGTCACCACTCGTTCAGGCCTCCGTTGTAGCACGTGGGCCTTGTAACGGCCTTTGCGACCTTTGCTGGTTGAATACAGCTCCCCATTACACTACAAATTCAGCTCGGACAAAAACAAAAACACAACAAATTTGCGACCAAACTCAGCGTAGGCTGCTTGTCGACCTCCGCACAGGCGCAAGAACAGCAAAGGATCTCCACATTGGGGGACCGTAGCAATTTTTCTGTACTTTTTCCGGTTAACAGTCATTGAAGCGAGGGCTAGAATTCAAGGATGCTGGGCGGGGGCTCATTCCTCCCTTGGACCTGTGCCTTAAGTAGGCTATTCACTTCCCACGCCAATTTAATTATGATGGCTTTGCGGAATGTCACTCCCAAAGCGCATGATCATGCTTGTCATATAATTTCACCTGGTCAGCGCGTGGAAAGGTTCACCTACCAGTAATGAGCTACTTGAGCTACTGGTAAAAAGTAGCCCCATGTTCAGGTTGCCTATCCCCAATAGTTCATGTATGAACGTGATCCCTTTTCACACAGATTGCGTTAGAACCGCTTGACATATGAACTTGCATTTAGCACGTCATGATACTGCCAATTAAGTTACACGAATTCGGATGTCTGGTTATGTTCTCTTACCCTCAGCAGTTTGAGGATTATTGGCACGAAGGCAGTACGATGTCTCAGCCGTCCATCTCCTGTGAAGTTCGTGCAAACGCGTGTTCAATTTCGATGCAGATTCAATTGTAATGGGTGGCTGCATAACCTTGCAAAGCATATATTAACAATGGACGCTAGGTTTTACGCGATTGGGTCTCTGGTCATATGCTGGTGCCGAAAACAATTTGCTCATTATCGATATGAACAGGGCTCGATGTTCTAGCTGTCCTGTCCTGTATAATTCTTGTGTGTACGTATTTCACTTTTCATGCCGTTGCATTTTAAGGTTAATGACAATGTAGTGGTTTTGAATTTCAGCTAGACCTTCCAAGCACACTATCACACTCGACATGAGATCATACGTAATGAGCTCGATGGACATGTGCGTCCCCCGTTAACACTTTGTTCATCATCTGCACGAAGATTTCCGATGTTCCGCCTGCCCCGCAGCTTTAAGCCCCACGGCTAGCGGCCGCACCGCGTTCAAGTCTTCGCACCAATGACGTCACCGCCCCAAGAGAGCAGGTGAAAAGCCGACTTATGACAAACCCCACGCACGGAATTCCCCTGCCTTCACCTGACATGATACATCATACGTTGGCTTGATAATGTGTAGATTATACGCGCTTGTCAATC